TTTTTACTTATACGCGTTAAGATTTTCTAAAGAATCTTCAAAAATAATTGATCGGACATTATCGATAATAATGTTCAGTCATGATAGAAATTTTTTGAACATTTTTTTTAATTGTGCAATTAAGATTTATTTAGTTGTACAATGCTGTATCTTGTTATTTATTGTATATATGTCTATATAATAGTCTCAGATGTGTACTTATCGATATTAATTAGAATTTGATGATAGAATTTGAATGATAGAACAAAATATTTAACTACTGTAGAAATCTTTTTTTTTTCTTTTTTTTTTTTTTTTGTTCTTTCATGAAATAACATTTTCATATATCGTCATAGAAAAAGAAAGAAAATATGATTAATGTTTTTTAGCAATATGTTTGTAGTATAAGTATTGCATATTATCATTTAAATTATTAAACGCATTTAAAACAAAAAACAAAAAAAAAAGGAAAGACACTAAGTATTCTTAGTAATTGACAAAAACTTTATCTATTGGACTAAATTTTTTTTTTAAATATCATATTGAAGAAATATATATTCGATATGAGAATTTTTAAAAAGATCGACAATATTTTTTAAACGTATCATTGACTATCGTCATTAGATTTTCATTGCTAGTGACAACTTTCACATCGATATTTTTATTATTTATGATTATTTTTTAAACAAAAATTCTTCTTCCTCTTCTTCTTCTTTTTATATACAAACGCGTAATATTAATATTTTATATATAAGAATTTTGATACTCTAGCTCGTAAACTTCAATATACATACATATATATACATATATATGTATATATATATATATATATATATCCCTTTAAATCCCAGGTGTCATTAGAAAGAAAAAAAAAAAAAACAAATCATGTCAATAAATGCAAAGTAAAATGACAATGTATCATTAATTTTACATTGCGTTTCAAAATAACTGGGATACTTTTTGACAAGAAATCTGATTAATTGGGTCTGCGTTGCTTGAGACTCATCAAATGATTAAATGTGACCATAATTATGAAAGTGATGAAAAAAAAAAAAGAAAAATCAGTTTATTAGTTATTACACACCACATTATTTAAACTTTTGTTTACCACACTTGGTCCAAAGGACCCAAACAGTTTATGCAACTTCAGTCATTTTTCTCAATTGTACTCAACTTTGGTAATTTTTTAAACATATTTCAATTTAATTTCAAGCTATTAAACCTATATAATCGTTTTAAGTAATGATTAAAGAAGTCGGCAAAAAAATTTTAAAATAAATCTATACAATAGTTTCTTTTTTATAACAATTTTTCTCGCCCGGGTCCTTTGGACCCGGGTTTTGTAAGCGTGTTACTCCAGGAAGGGTTAGTAAGTTAGTAAGTTTGTCAAAAAATGAATGAATCGTTAGATAATGTTTGTTTTTTTTTGTTTTCAATATTACATAGAATTCATATAACGTTCAAATAGAAATCTTGAAATATCTCGAAACAAGTGATACATGACTTAAACCATTTTTCATAATTATGAGCACAAATATACAATCAATTCAAATTTTAATTCTAAACACCGATAATCTTGTTGTTTCTTTTTTTTTATTTTTTTTTTTTTTATGAATGCATACTGATATTATTTATATTAATTACTAGAAACGTTAATCAACTTTCATTGATTAAAAACATTTCATTTAGGAATAAAAAAGTATTGATTTTATGGATCACACACACACATTGCAAGTAGATTTGCATTGATTTTATAAAATGAATTTTTGGTTGTTTATATTTATTCATAAATTTGTGATTAGATAGAAAAATTGTAGAATTTTTTTTTTAAATGAATTACGATCATGTATGCATATGTTAACGAATAATATAATTAAAATAATAATAATAATCATAATAATAATAATAATAATAATAATAATAATAAATAATGATGATTGTATTATTTAATAAGAAGTATAATCCTGGAATAATGATTGTATTATGATACAACTGATTTTTATGTACAAAAATGCCTTAATTTATATAATATCATTTTAGATCGTATAATACAGCATTGTATTTCACAGGTATTAATATAAGTATGGACGAATAATATACAATATGATTAACGTAATATTAATAATCCTTGGTTGTTATTTTTCTTTCTTTCTTTTTGTTTGTTTTGTTTTGCTTTTTTTTCCGACATCGACTAACATGTCATAATTATTAATAATAACAATAATAATAATAATAATTATAATTATAATAGTCATCATGATTATCAGCATCATCCAACATTCTCGACAAAATTTATATTCTACATTCTGTACATCTATTTCAATAAATAGTATGAACTCTGATACAGAGCAAGCCTTTCACAGTCTACAAATTTGAACGATTGACTGTGCATTAGTATTTTCAAAGTAACTATCTGAGGATTTGTTTATGTATTATTCTTTTTACATAAATACAATATTATTATTATCATCATCATCGGTTTTCTTTCTTTAATTAAAATCATATAAAACTTTGTTGAACTCTTTGGAGCACGGTGGGGATTAAAAGTGTGTCCCACATTTTTTGATAAATCGTAATACACAGTGGGACATTTTTAGTCCCACCTTGAAATATTATTACAATAGCAGTCTACACATGCTCAATAAGTTTATATTTCGTTTGATTTATGCAAAACAATTGATTATTATTAAATCTTCGTTATTAATTATTTTTCTTTCCAAAGGAGGCGAAATGCGTCAACTTTTCTCTTGTTGTTGAAAACGAAGTTGCAAAAAAAAAATGTATACTCATCACCATGGGCAGTAAATAAGAAAAGTCTCAGAGCACTCTGAGACATTTCTTACTTTACCATCTTAGGTGAGTAATATACTATTTTTTGTTGTTGTTGTTGTTGATGTTTTTACATTATGTAATAATATCTTTATTAGTACAAAAAAATATACCAATGTTTGTTTCATTTAAAATTGTAATTAAATTTCTATGCACCATAGAGAGCTATTATTTTATTATTATTATCTGAAATTCTGTGCCGCAAAGAGTTAATATATATATATATATATTTTTTTTTTTTTGCAATATATATATATATTAATATAGTTTTATATGTGAATTTAAATAATATACAATAATACATAATATATTGAACAAAGAAGAGTTCACGTATAATTGTAATGACTTTTTTTTTTTTATTTGACTGTCGAAAGAAAATATTTTAACTATTAGAGATTTATTTGTTCGTTCGTTTGTTTGTTTGTTTTTTCATTTAGAATTCACATTTACTATTTTAATCAATTTTTGGAATGTAATCATTTGTGATGTATTTTCAATTTATTCTAATTCTCCTTTTCTTTTTTTGTTTCTTTCTATACACTCACAAATACGTACATTCACGTCATTAAGTGAATAATTTAGTAAATATTAAAATATGGAAATTCTTGTTTTTCTTTTTCTTTTTTTTATATGTAATGCAGATCATCTTTACAATAAACTAAGCTTAAAAAAAAAAAAAAATAAAAAATGAATTGAGCGTTACGAATTAATGATAACATTTAATTTAATTGGATTCATTTCATACAATAAAATTGCATGAAGTGTTTCTCGTTGTTATGATATCTTTCATTAAACTGAATTCTTATTCTATGCAATGATAGATTAAGCTCAGTTTATTCTTTTTTTTTGTTTTTGTTTTTTTTTTGTTTGTTTCGTTTATTCGGATATTATAATAATATTCTTGACTATCTTCGGTATCTATTGAGTATATCATAGATGAAGTATAAATGTTACGTTAACGAGGAAAGACTAATTTTATTTAAATACATTATTACTCTTTTTTTTTGTTCTTTTTTTTTTTTTTTTTTTTTTTAACTAAATAAAATTGTATCCTCAGATATAGACTACAATGAGTTCCTCGAGGCTTCCATCTGTTCACAAGTATCTTCATTATCGACAAAGAAGATCAACATTATTTTCAAATAAAAAAAGTAACATAAGTAGTCTACCTAAATTCAAATCAAGAATTCACATTGTATCTTATTTTATTTAAAAAAANAAAAAAAAACAGACAAATCCTAATTAACAACAAAAGATAATTACAGAAGGGATAAGGCTCTTCTTCTTTCTTTTTTTAGCACCGAAAAAAATGAATCAATCAATTGTTCACAAAATTTTGATAACAATTCTAAATTGTATACATCGTTTTATCAAAAATATTTGTCCAGGTTGGTAAACGTTTTGAAACATTATTTTTCTTTTCTTTTATCAACTCTATGCAAAATTAGAAAGAAATAAGAAAAAAAAAAAAAACATTACTTGCTTATAAAACGCACAATTTACTTGCAATATAATGTAAATGAAGAACCGTACAACCCATAGTGACCATGTTGCCCATCGCAATGCAAACATGAATACGTCTAAATGCATTATGTATTTTGAGGTAGTGTGGACAGTGTTTCAAAGGACCAGGATTGTGTCGACCAATTTCATTACCTACACCTGCAGCACGTTCTATCGCATTTTTTTGAACGATTAATTGCAATAGTGGTGGTGTAAGATATAAACGTATTAATAGTTCCAAGAAGAATGCTCCCGACATTCCAATGACCTAAAATTGTTATATTCATATTTTTAGTATATATATATATATATATTTCATATTGATAATATATAATTATAATGTAATTATATACACACCTGAATAGCCAGTTCGGTATCCCATGTGTATATAGGATGATGTTTCACAAATATCAGTAAAGTAATCAGACTTAAACAAGCATTGATGGTGAAATAACGAGGAAATAGTACACGTTGTACCTCACCAAATGTATGCCGTGGTAATGCAAAATATAAGGAAAGACCTATAAATATAAATGAATAATAATAAAATATACGTATATAAAATAAACGTTAATGAAATATAAATAGTAATATCTATTACCTGAAACAAAAGTCATCCAAACTTGTGCACCAAAATGCATAACGAAAGAAGTGAGATAAATGAAAGATGCAATTCTTGAAGAGTTAGTTACGTAGATCTTGTCTCTTGATGGTACTAGGATTGATGTTACAAAGAGAATAGCTGCTATCATGATCACGTGTGCTGGTTGAGACGTATAGAAGAAAATTCTAAGGATAAAAATAATTTGATATTGTTAATAATTATTCATTTGAAATTCATTCATTATACGTCGTTATTTAAATGTACATTTATATGATCGCATTATGAAATTGAAATTGTAATTTTATTTCAATTTATGATGCATTAAGTAAGATTTGTATTTAAGAGTAGGAGTTTATTTAACAATTGCATAATATTAGTAGTATTAATTTTAACTTGAATGCATGATGGTAGAATGCATACGGTGAACGTATACATTGAAAGGATAACAAACCACAGCTTGTGCAGATTGCAAAGGCAGGAATATTTAGCACGACCTGAATAAAGTATGTCAACCAAACATCTTTCCTTAGTAGACAGAAACATGACTATTTTTAAAGTATGAAAATAAACGTACTCAAGAAGCACATGGATACTTTCTACTTTAAATATACACACATACACATGTCAATTATTACAAATATATGTGCATTTAGTTATTCTATTTGTTAGATTTATTAGACATACGAGATGATTATTTTCTTTGATGAAACTTATTCAAATTCAAATTTTGGCGCCACTATTGAGATACGAAAATCGATAATAATTTCGAGATCTATTGTATTAAATCAATTTTATCTATTTTCAAATTTATTCTATTACAAACTTTAGCGCCACTATCGAGATAAGAGAATATCGATAATAATATCATAAAGTTTCTTCTTATCCAATATTTAAATCAATTAGATGATTAGATTTATGATAAAACAGTAATCTATTTTATCAACATGTCTCTATTATAACAATAACCTACATCTTTTCGCGGTCTTTTTCGTATATTCGAAATCGATATATCGAAATAGACAATTACGATTATGAATCGAATCGATATTCATTCAATTTCTCTATTTGAATAATCATATTTTCTTTTTTATTTCGTTAGTCATAATATTTAAATGACATTTGAACTACGTTTGTGCGAACTTTTTTCAAGAGATGATAGTCATCTAAATACATGACAGGTATCTTTCTCTAATGTATCACGTGCACATATATACATATATATATATATAAAAAAATAAATATAACGGATCTTATTCACGGATTTTCTTAGTTGGAACTAGGCCAATTTAATGTCTCTCCAATGGTGCGTAAAAATGTCTGATTATATAATTTATTCTTTTAAATCTAGCCATTATTATTATCTTCCTCCAACATATACTTATTTTTATTTTAATTAATAGGAATACATATATATATATAGAAATATTCTTAACAAGTAAATATATTTGGACAAAATATTTGTTTATTAACATTTTCTTGAAAACACTCTTTTTTTTTTTTTTTTATCTTTGAGCAATAAGTTTTCATGAAAATGTATTATTTCTATGATTCGATTAACCTCGAATTTTATTTCCTGCTTGAATTAACTGATAAATTTATCATGTGATGTAATGATAAGTAAAAACTAGACGCAATATATGTAATATCTAAAACAGATTAGTTTCTCGTGTACATACACATTCACATAAATGTATATATGAGACAGATAATTTGGAAAAATGTTTTCAACTATGATTGTAAAATTTTTACGTATGTATGTGTAATGGGTACTTGAATTATTTTTAAATTATATTATATACATAACTTAAAAATATATAATATATAATTATAGTATAT